TTACCCAATCACAATTAGATCCTACAATTGAGTTGCATTGATTTCGCCATTCTTTGAAAACCTGGATGTTTTCGACATAATATGATTCCCACTCTTCGGCATCATCAGTTCTCAACCTCTTCCAGCAACCCCCGACCTCAGTGCAGTGCAGTGCACTTTCAGCACAAATTGCGCTGTGCTGTTCATCAGCCCAGTGAGCACTGCGCTGCGCTGCGAAATCGCGCAGTGGCAAAAAATCGGTGGTGGACCATGCGCTGAGCTTAGCGCAGTTTAGCGCAGCGCAGTGGTAAAAAACTGCGCTTTTTTTCGGTACAAAAGTTTTTCCTTAAATGGGCATGAATCACACCAAAGTGAGAGCACACCGAGCGGGAAAAGATAGAAACATATAAGGGAGAAGACAAAAAACATAATCTGAGAAAATAAGATAGGGAAAAAACAATTTATTGAAGAAAATAATCAAAGATCTACATGTTTGCACCTTTTTTCTTCTTTGCCAAACCTGCGACCAGCTGTTCCACAGCTGCCACCGCCTTTCCAAGATCACCTTGAGGCACAAATTTTTGTTTGAGCCATTGACAGATGCCAAAGGCTCTTTCAATGGACCTTGAAGTCAGGCCACCTCGTCGATTTGCACACACAATAGCTGCAGTTGAAAAAGTTCTTTCAACTGCGCATGATGATCCAACGCAAGCCAAGAAATCACGAGCCAACTTAGCCATTTTTGGAAATCGATGCTGATTGCGCTGCGAGGATAAAGAAGTCAGTCAAAAGTCGAGCTCAATAAAATAAAATTGTGCTTACTTTCCACCAGACTAATATATCAGTATCACCTTCACATGGATGCATCCCCGAGAAGTACTGATCAAGTTCCTCATCGCGGGTCAGAACTTTTTTAGACGAGGCGCTGAACATGTTGGTTTCATCGAATGGATCAAATGGTCGATCGGCTTGAGTCTCGGCCTCAGAAGTCGATTTTGAAGCTGAATTGACATTGAGTTGCTCATACTCAGAGAAGGTTTGGCGAAATAGTTCATCGGCGCGTCCAGAATACTCAGGATACTTTTTCTTGAAGAACTCTAGCCGAAGTCGGGGATTGAGAATTGACGCCATTACGAGTGGATCACAGTAAAGTGCCTCCGTCTGGTAGTCGCGGAGCTGTTTGACCATACCATCGATCATGTCAGATAAACCTCGATGTGGTGTGGTGTTTTTGGTATTGACGAGGACCGAAATTAATCCAGAGTACTGGAAAAGAACCGAGGCACCGGTGGGCCCATCGCCTTCCATTTTCTTTGTGGATCGCAGAAAAAACTTCAGATTGAAGGACATATTAGTAAAGTCAGAAAAGAATGGAAATATTAAAATTGAAGATACTTACCCCCAAAATATCATTCAACGCTTCAATGGCTTTCCATTCTTCAGGACTAATGGTAATCCCTTCGTAGAAACCTTCTGAATCTTCGTTGATCATGTGATTGATTACCTACACATGAAAGAACAGTTGAATTGTTAGAAACAGAATACGAATATATTTGCAAAAACCTTACTGATTTAGCTTTGCACAAGCGGGTTTGAGCATCAAACCAAATATTCCACCTTTGACCATGGGCAGCAATTAGCCCTCCACCGACAAATCCCAGCTGAGTCGCACAAGCTTTGAAGTGATTGAGTCGTGGAGCACTTGAAGTAATCAACTTATTTATTCTTCGAATCTTCAAATACAAATGATCAGTGACCCAATTCCAACTCATGCAAAGAACAGGATACATTACTTACCTTTGTTACAGCTCGAGGTTAGAGAGAAGCATCGGGCTTTTGTACCTTGTAGTCAGGTGCTTTCTCTTCATCCTCCGAGTCATCACTTGCCTCATTATCTTCCCCTGCTTCTAGGGTAGAATCTTGTTCCCGATCAGTATCACATTCTTCTACGTCTAGCTCACCATCCTCGTCAACTACTGTACCGTCGGTCATTACGATCTTTGGTGAAGGGATGTGATTGTCAGGTAAGAGTAACCTAAGGCGTTTTCCAGAGGGAATTGTTGGTTTAGTTCGGCCATTATCTCCAAGTCCGATCGTCTCGAGTCCGGCCTTCGCTGTCAATGCCAACTTGTGACAATAACATCGGATTTGATTGCGAGACGAGTTCCAAAATATCGGGTCGTCACAGTCCATGAACATCGATTCCAACTCCTTTGCCAAAACCGGGTTGCTCGATCCTGAGTCGGTTGTTTGAGCAAGCATGTGTCATCACAAAAATACATATATTAGCACATAGGAAAAAATAGAGATAAGAAAAAAAACAGAAAGAATCTGATGAAAGACAGAAAATGGATAATCATGAGAAAATACATATCTTTTTGTGAAGACCGTGTCGAATCAGGAACTTGCCAACTGGTCGAGCCAGCAAAGATCCATAATGGTTCCAAGCTATGAGTTTCAATGTCAGGTGGGTGACATGAAACTCCCAGTTTTCATCGATGTAAGAAACTGCTACACCGATAAAAGCACGCTTCCCTCCTTTTGTAGTCCATACATCGTGTATGACACAAATCTTGGAGTCAAGACCCTAAGTTAGAAGACGTTGGTACGTTATTAAAAGGTATATAAAGATGTTATATTGAAAATAGAAAAAATAAAATCATACCTTGAGAGTTTTAACCAGGTTTCCACGAAATTCCTCGAAATACTCCATAGCTCGCCGAGCGGACCACGATGCCAACCATAGTGTTGCGTTAGGGTTGCACAGTGCGAAGGCAGCTTGAAGGTATGGGTCTTCCATACGCAACCAAGGAATGCAATTTCTAAGCAGCCACAGCACGAGGATCATATTGAACAATCCAACCGAAAATTTAGGTAAGTTTAAGAAACTCTGGAAACTGGTTTTCTCGTGCTGATGCTTTTCAGCTTCTTGTGCAGCGACCTTCGCAGCTTGCCAAACCTTCCAAGGCAAGGGAAGATTAGCCCCAGCAGCAATTGCATCGGCACGTCCAGCACATTGTGCTCGATTGGCGTCACCATCGCGGTGGCCTGTTAGGTTCCAATTGCTCCTTTCGCCGATCCTGTAAGATTTGGGACAGAATAAACATTTTCGGTACATTGGCTTCTCCCCGGGTTTCTGTGGGTATGAAATGGTATCAGCATGATTTCGAAGCAAACATAAAAACGTGTAAGAAATAGAAAATACATATATTACCTGCTTATCTTCTCGCCAAAAAAGGTCGGACTCGAAGTACAGCTTTATATGATCATAAACTTCGGCAGGAGCATCCGATGAATCTGGTCCAGGCACCTCCTCGATTTCTGAATCTTGATCAGGGTTGACATTATTCAGAAGTTTGTAGTTCTGTGGTTAAGACAGATAAATCAAAGTAAACAATCAAGCATAACAATTAGAATGAATGAAGGGAAATGATGTACCCCTTTCTTGCTCTTTGTTGCAGGTTTCTTTTTCTTACTGGAGATTTCTTTGGCTTTTCGATTGCGTTTTCCATGAATAGGTGAGACAGTGCTCTCAAACGAGTTTTCGTGACTTTCACTTTCTTTCTCATTACCGCTTACTTCTTTTTCCGTCTCGTAGTTAGGATCATTTTCGTCGGCGTCGGCGTCCTCATCTTCGTTATCAATTATGACCGTCGTAGATTGAGACTTGGTAGTTGACTGTGACGACTTGGAGTGAGACTTGGCGGTTGAGTTAGACGACTTGGATTTGGACTTGCCGGTTAGTTGAGTGTTTTTGTTTGATTTGGCCATGATAAGCTGATGTTTGGACAAGATGTAAGATAACAAGAATGAACTATAGGGGACTGAGTTACTATGATCGGAAGAAGTGTGATTGTGAATGTGAAATGGGGATCTGATTCTGAAGATGGTTGATTTAAACAATACTTGAATCAAGAAATTTGATGGACAAGTGGAAAAATACGACGTTCTAAAAGAGGTGGAGAATGATCTATGGGTATCGGATAGGTCGGATGGATAATTGGAAGTTGTCCGATCGATAAAAAGTATGTCACTGTTCAGGGATGAGAGTGAAGGTGTGAAGCGAAGACCAGGTTGGTCATCCCACTGCCAGTTCCGTGCGCCATTGGGCTTCCATACTAGGAAGTCCATCGAGGAATCGGTCGAGAAGTGTCGATAGCGAGATGATCTAAGATCAATCGAGTCTAGATTGATACGCAAGGGGGAGGATTTATCATCTTGGCCTCTTCTTTTGGCGGTGGCTCAGCTAGTGGAGGCTCCGAACCGGCGCGGTTCCCGCAATTTGTGCTCAAACTGCGCACACTGTGCACAATGCGCTGGGCTGCACTGCGCGGTTGCGCAGTGGGAAAAAAACTCCTAGGTCCCTGGGGTGCGTGGTGCCGCAGTGACAATTGTGCAAAAGTGCGGTGCGCGAGCACCAGCGCAGGCGCAATCTTTCCGCAGTGAACTGCACTGCGAGTCGGGGGTTGCTTCCAGTCAGGATTGAAGTAAGGGATAGGTAAGGTGGGTTCAAAAGAAAGTTCGAGTGAGATACAATGACAACTATCAATGATACCTAGTATAATTGGTTTTGCATATAAACCAGGAGCCGATAGAAGGGGTGGGGTGGTTTGGCAGGCTGTTGCCACGTTGGAATAAAATATGACCGGTCTATTGTAAGTATTTGCAATCACACAGCTACCACCTGGTAGTGGATACCATAAGGATTGTGGTGCCCAATCATCCGGATGTTCTAGGATGGTGAGCATTTTTTTCACACTGATTCGACTTGAGCTAAGTTTGGGTAGATTTTTTTTATACCAATTATAATTTTTTGTAACTTCTTTCGCAAGCTCAGCTCGAACCTCCATTGCATCTTCTGCCGTTCTTCCAAGAGATACTGCGACTGCTGCAAAGGTACACAGTCCCTTTGCGGGGACATTCGTGGCGAGCTTTATGAAGGGATAAATGACGGTTGGGAGAGTTTTGACAAAATCCCATCGCTAATTGATTTGTTAGTTGATTGTATAGATAAATTGAAATTATAGAGAAATATGGCACACTTTGATGACTCCTGTTAAGACTTCTGCGTTCTCGTGGTTCGGGAATTTGATCTCATTGGGGGTGCTTGTTCCTGTATGTGGAGGAGTCGAATTGGAATGCTGCTTATTAGGCATTAGGGTCATGTTACAATTTACCTGCAGATGTACTTACACTTTTTGATGGACTTACGCTTTTTCGATTTTTCTTCGATTTCTTCTTAGGAGGTGCAATCTAAGTAGGATGATGAAGGTGATATGAATATCATAGAATTTGAATCAGTAGATGATAAAGAGTCAATTGGAGGGTAATGAATCACTTACACTATCTGTGAATGAATTGACTCGAGTTGATTTGCGGGTTGGTGGCCTTGAAATGACGTTCTCAGTACCTGTAGCTTCCTCCAAAGGCGCCTCACTAGTTGTTTTCGATGAATTGTTGGTCTGAGTATCACTAGTTTTCGCTTCCTTTTGTTTTTCAATTAATAAAGTTGTAGGAATATCATCGGAATCGTTATCATCGATGGTCACATTTTCTTCCTCTTCAATTTTTTGTTCTTCATTTGCTTGTTCTTCTTGATCTTTCGGTTGTTCATCTAATTTGGGCTCTTGTTCAGTTTCGACTGTTGATTTCAATTGATCTTTCGGTGGTTCATGTAATTTGGCCTCTTGTGCAGTTTCAACTGTTGATTTCAATTGCGAATGGGAAGGTCCAGCGGTGGTCGTGCTCGATTGCTATTGAAGAATGAAGAAAAAATTAGATTAATCCATTTGTAAGTTATTCCAATGAAAAAAACTTGAAAAAATGACGTACTTTATTGATCACTGGCCGTACCTTGTTGATCACTGGCTCAGTTATATTTTTAGCTAGTTGACAATCCCTTACAAAGACTGCAAGTAAACGTTGCTCGGTAGCATCGTCGAGTTCTTGCAAATTTGAGATCAAGGCTTGATATCGCTCAGGGATTGCAGATAACGTAGATAATGGGGCATTCGATTCCTTTGGGGCTGGTACGCTCTTGCTGTTGGGTTTATCGGGCTTTGAGGCAGTTGAGTCAACACCCGAACCGCTACGCAACGCTATGGAATTTGGCCATTTTCCATAGTGGTGCGCAGCCTGTGCTATGAAGCCGAGCGCTCTGGCTGCGCTATTTAGTCAAAAAAAAAGTTCTTGCCATGTCGAAGCGGTCCTTGCCGCTATATGTGCGCTTTATAGCGCGCTATAGCGCTATATAATGAAACACACTTTCAGTGTATAGCTTCACTCCAAGTTGTAGTCATATTGGCACATCAAGATTAGATACAAAAAAGTATTAAGCTGACATACTGAACGGTTTATATTTGAATTGATAAATAATCGATTCAGATTAGGAACTTCAAGATGACACATCACTTCATCTTGATCATTCAGTTTTGATGATGATGATGGTTGTTGTTGAATCAATTGAAAATAAGAAGTCAGAAGTAGAACCTAAACTATTTTGAATATGAATTCTGAGAGTATGATTAGATTTGAAGTTATTTGAAGTATGACTACGAATTGAAGTAATGTGATTGGCTGTTGATGATTATCTTGTTGAAGTAAGATTGATTGAAATTGATAAGTTTTGATTGGTTTTCCGTTTAAGATTTGTTTTAAAATCGAAATCGGTTCAGTTTGAAGAGATCCACTGTGATCGGTTCTGATCGGTTCATACCTTTGTACCATTTCATTTTGCTCCGCTATATAGCGGAGTGACACCTCCTGGGCCGGGTTGCGCAGCGATTGCTCCGCTATGAGAAAACTCAGCCGTGGAGTGCGGTGCGCTGGCTGCGCTATGTGTTTTGGAGCCCATAGTGCACGCGAAAACCGCTGCGATATCGCTCCGCAACCGCTATATATGGCGATGCGGTTCGGGTATTGGTTGAGTTGATGCTATTTGAGGTATTAATCGTATTTGCATTAGAGTTTGATTGATTTTCTCCTCGTTTCCGTTTCTTAGGCTTCACCAAGGGCGCATCATGATCAATCTTGAGGTCGAGTATTGGTCCATGGTTGTGTTTGTTGTCCTCAATCTTGATGTACCAAGTATCGGTAACCGGATCTCGTTTCACCGTCATCGCAAAGGGGCATGTGGGAATTTCAAGCTTGTTTCCGAGTGCCTCAGCAGCTTTCTTAGCCCGGATCTGCTTGCGATTCGGTCCAAGAGCGCATTTCCAAGTGGAGAATAGGTTTTTGCGAACGTCTAGATTCGTGATTTCGTATTGGTTAGCGCGGGCATGAGCGGTGAGGTGGGCTTCAACATCGTCGACTGTCTTGAAGGTGCCCTCTCTAGGTGGAGGTGGTATGACGGTGTACGATTCCGGCTGCGAGGTGGTGATGGTGGCATCTTGCTGCTCGGTAGAGGTAGAGAGTCCTGCCTCCTTGGTAGAGCTGATAATCGTGGTTTGGTTGGGTTCAGTAGGTGGGTTGGCAGTGATTGCGCCCAAATGCTCGATGGTAGAGGTGGTAGCAGTCGTGGTGGTAGTGGAAGGATCGTTGATGGTCGAAGTGGATGACTCCATTGAAGATTCGATATCTTTCTTAGTGAGATTGAGTTTGTGTGAATGAAGGTGTGATAGATTCTGGATGTTGTGGGATCGATGGGAAAGTGATAGATTCTGGATGTTGTGGGACCGACGGGAAAATTTTTTCAAGTCTTTCATTGGCTTCCCAGGCAAAGATGTGGTTACTTAAGTACATACTTAAGTACATATATACTTACGACTGATGTAATTCACACGTACAAAATTCAAAGGAGTCCCACATGTGTAATTAGATCTACATATGTGGGATTTGAGGGTTCCCACATGTGGAATTGAACTTAGGCCTGTGGGATTGTGGATATGATTTCCTTCATGTGGGACTTGGATTCCCACATGTGGGATCTCTGTCACACATTGGCAATTCACAATGCAACGTGGAATGCCCTATTCCTGCGTCCCACTTGTGGGATCATGTGTTCCACAGGTGGGATCTTATGTTCCACATGCGGGATCTGGCGTCCCACATGGGGGACCATATGTTTCACATGAGTGATAGAAATTCAAATTTGAATTGCTTATGTGGGGACGCCAATCCCACATGTGAGAGTCTGTGGGACTGTATGTCCCACAAGTGTGATCTCACATTCCACATGTGGGACTCCGTTCCCACATGATAATGCCAAGTCACACATGGATGGACTTACAAGTCCCACATGAGAGATCCAATTTCCCACATATGTGATCTCACGTCCCACAGGAGAGATCTTATGTTCCACATGTGGGACTCTGTTCCCACATGATAATTCCAAGTCACACATGCATGCACTTACCAGTCCCACATGAGATATCCAATTTCTCAAATATGTAGCCTCAAGTCCCACATGTGGAATCTTATGTCCCACATGATAATTCCAAGTCACACATGGATGGGCTTACAAGTGGCACATGTGGAACTGTATGTATGTCCCACATGAGATATCGAATTTTCCACATGTGGGATATCACGTCCCACATGTGGGATCTTATGTTCCCAATGTGGGACTCTGTTCCCACATGATGATCCCAAGTCCCACATGTGGGACTGTATGTCCCACATGAGATATGTGATTTCCCTCATATGTGATCTCACGTCCCACATGTGGAATCTCATGTCCCACATTTGGGACTCTATTCCCACATGATAATTCCAAGTTACGCATGGATGGACTTGCAAGTCTTTGATGGGTTATAAGACATTTCTATGTCCTTCATTCAGCTAAATCAGTGTTTTCTTCTTTGTAAATATGGTGTAGAAAGGTGTTAGAGCGGTGTTTTGGTGTTTCTCAGGGTGTTAAAGTTGAAAATTTTCTGCAGCCGCCGACGCGGCAGGCGCGTTGGCGTGTCGGCAGGGGGCTCTTCGGCTTATCGCCGATGGAAATGACACATTTTCCTTCGGTTATTATCCGAAGTGTTGGGTAGCCACAGGTGATGCATTTAGTTGTCAAATGTTCTAACTCCACGCTCGCCTCGGTTTTGTCTTGAAGTTGACCAGATCCCAGTTTCAGCAACCATTCCGCAAATTCAATGTTGCGCTTTCTTGAATTGATTTTGCGGTTTTCGGTTCCCAAAAGTCGGACGTTAATTGTTAATGCGTACTGCTTCACCGATGGCCACAAAAACAATCTACGAATAGAGGCAGTAGCTTGCTGTGGTATGCTTGCGCGTGGAATAACGGGCAACGTCTGGCGGAAATCGCCGGCGAAGAGCACAATGATACCTCCAAATGGTTCGTCAACTTTTCGTAATTCACAGAGGGACCGATCAACACAATGAACGTCGGCTTTATTTTGCATCAAAATTTCATCCCATACAATGACTTGACACTCCGTCAAATGCCGTGACACTGCGTCACGGCCGCTGAAATTGCAGGTTGAGCTGTCGTCGGGATTCAATGGTATCTTGAAGCCGGAGTGAGCTGTTATTCCTTTATACAGCAACAGTGCAGCGATTCCTGAAGATGCGACGGAGAGGAATGGTATCCGCATCGCATTGCAATAATGTAATATGGTGTTGATAGTAAAAGTCTTACCGGTACCACCGGGCCCATCGAGAAAGAAGAGTGACCCTTTTTTTGCGGCAATCGCCTGTCGAAAATCTTCAAAGAGGGTAATTTGCTCGTTGTTCATCATACCCAATTTGTCCATCACGTAATCAGTGCTGGCGTCCATGGAAAAATCATCTTCGTTCTCGTAGCCCAATAGTGCTCCGTGTTCGTTCAAGACACTCAAATTGGGTTGCGGTAGTGACAATGATTTCAAGTCGAGACCCACTTCTGAAAGAGCATCTTGCAATCGCCAAAGACCAAGGGATTCTATCATTTCAGCTGTCGGCGTTATTTGAGGTTGGAGTTGACGCATCGCAGAGGCGCAATCGTCGGACAATGACACTGAAAATAGGTCCCAAAGTCTCCGCGGGTCGCTCGCCTTGCCGTACTTGACAATAATTGCGAAGAGACTCCGTAATTGATAAGCTGGCTGTGTATGTGAACACTCCTCCAACGTTGCAATGAAATGATCATCATTGAGCAGTAATCCCAGGGCCGAAGCCGCACCGTTGAAATTCTCGTACGTAATTTCGTCCACGGTCCGAAGGTGTTCAAACGACTGTGGACCTCTGACGTTGAATAGTAACAATCTGAGATAATACCGATCGCCTTGGGATAAGCTTGCAAAATAAACTCTTGGAATAGTCTTTGATCTGTTAACGCGCAATTTCCATTCATTGATATCTTCATCCCAACTGAAATAATAAACCATTTCAGGATATGTCAAACTTCTGACGCCGATTTTAGGCTTGACCAATTGGTAGTCTTGCGCACATAGCATGAAAAACTGCGTCAATGGCGTCCGCGCAGCTCTTCCAGAGTCAATCTGATTTTGAAGGGAACGAATTGTTCGGAAATAGACCACATTATCCCGCGGCATGTGTAATGGAAGACGTTGAACCGCTGGAAATCGCGCAGACATGGCGAACATAAATAAGCGCCAGCAAGCTGTAAAAGAAAGAAGTAAGTATTGTGTTACTTCGATGTAAAAATTTGACATACCTTCAGTACCAGTAAGGCTCCGACTGTTGATATACAAATCCAGCTCATTAGCGGCGGACATGGATAATGCAGCTCTATCATGGCCCTTGGTAATATACTTATAAAGATATTTCAACGCTTGAATGCTACATGCGACCTCAACATTAAGGTGACAGTTGTATTTCAAGAGGAGGAATGCATTGTATGGCACCACATCACGGTTTGTATATGTGTATCCACCGCGAGTGAAGGATCGGCCATTATTACGTCGCCTTTAAACTGGGTAAGAGTCGTCGGTTAACATTGTGTTTTCTGCGAATTCCTTTGGATAGCCAAATCGACAATTGCCATTCTTCCAACACGCGCTGCCGTCTTTACAGGGACCGTGGAGCATGAATTTGGTGACTGCTTCGAACAATATTGATTCATCGTCGGGGTCTGGTAGTTCGGCACGTACCACTAAATCGACAGCATGTGGTGTGCGGGGTGCTGATCCCTGAGCGAGGATGGGTATGAAATGAGCGTGAGGTCTGCCCCGTCCTTGAAATTCGATTGTCGAGACATGAGATCTTCCAGCACCTAACCTCCCCTTCTTATTGACGTCGTGCATCATTTCCTCCCATTTGAGATTGAAAAACCTTGAAACTGCGTCCGGCCGGTTCATCGCTGTCTGACCATGCTGCAACACATCTTGAACTTCAGGCCAATGATCATTCGCCGTCATCGTGATAAAAAAGCTTGGTGCACCATAGTGCCGAACCAGTGCCATAGCGTCGTAATAAAGTTGTGTCATTGCTCGTGGCGAACCAATGTGAGAAGATGGCAGTATCACACGGCGGCCAAAGGTAAAGTCATTACGACCCAGTGACTCAACGGCCCCCGAATAGAGATCGGCGCGAATGTCGTCTTGATGAGTTCTGAAATACATAATACGCTGATTTTCGACACACGCATAGAGGTCTGTTGCCAGTTCTTGCAGTAGCATATGAGACGATAAAATGGTAGAAAATTCTTTCGGTCGCTGAAACAGCAAGAAAGCAAACCATTGCAGTGTCAAAACCTTCCTGCCCAGACCTATAGACAACGTCAGTATACTGTGATTGTATTGAAATACCTGATTCTCACCATCTGCGGTTGGAACTCGATAGTTCTCGTCATAGCCGGCTTGTCCCCATGGAAATAATACGGGATACCGCAATGGAAGGTACCCGGTGTGTCTTTCTGAAATGCGCTTAAAGCCACCGTCTACGCTGTGAAGTATTAGATCACGGTCATTCTCACCGATCTCACCGCCTCCACCGACAACCATAGCGACCTCTGTCACAGAAGGTCGCACATAAGTCCTGATGTCATGACTGAACAATCCTTGTGGCGGTGGCGGAATTGATTTAATGCGAAATGAGATTGTGTCGTGCTGCAGTGCTACCTGATAAGCCATCTTGAATTGAATAGCATAGGGATTACTTTTGTAGAAAAAGTCTAGAAATTGTTTAATAATGGATGGGTCGATGTCTGATTTGGACATAAACACGCGGTGATCGGCTTCGTCGCTGACATCTTGTCCCATCAGATAGATTTGCGCAAACGCGGGTGCCTCATTGTCGCGCGGCAGGATACTTCCCATGTTATGGACTAATTGACCGAATATCTTGAAGCAACAAATACCGTAAGGGCCGTCAACACTGCGATCAATTTTGCAACCGAGGGAAGTGAAACTTAGAGCGTTATTGTAATTTCGAATGTTGTCGCGAAATTTCCGGGCCCCTATACTCAAAAATAAATCAATACAAACCCTATATTCGCTGATGAGACGGCGACTCACGATCGGTGTCATCTGTCATCAAGCCAATGAGAAAGGGCGGCGCCGTTGGAAAAGTAAAATAGTGATGTGGGAGGATCACTTTGCCATTCCTACAACACATCGTGTAAGATGTTGGTGTCCCTAGCGCCGATTTCGTAGGTCGCTCCTTCGTCCAATGGAGTGCACGACATTCGACACAGACATTGGTACATGAACCAAGATTGTGTGGTATTTCGGCGCCAAATCGGTGCAATAAAAAAGTTTCGTGGTCCTCGGCTGGATGGGTTGCGGCGCGTTGCTTTGGTGCCATCGTTGTTGTGAAGAAATGAGGATGTGTTGGTGAGAATTCGTTTGAGTTACAATAGTTTTTGACGTGATACACAAATAATCTCGATGTCTTGTTCTGCAATATAGCTATATAACGGAGCTGTACGGGCGTAGTAAGTGGTGTGGAGCTATGATCGAACGGCGGAAAGCAGTACGATGTTCAATTATAGCTAGTAATGATTGAAACATCAATATTAGTAACTGGAAAACCTCAGAATTAGACAAATGAACACTGACAGTGCCGAAATAAAGGATGGCTACAATTTTTTCGGTGAGTTTAAGCGGAGACTCTAGATTGATGGTTGTGGTGTTAGCGACGTCGTAAATGCAGGGAAAGTCTGTGATCGGAGGCTGAGAGTTTGGGATAGTAATCGAAAAAGGTTTCAAAAATGATTGAGATGGTACTGAAAGCAAACGGCAGCTCGGGTGTGATCTTATAACGTGCGACATAGATGGCGGCACCGTCGACAGAATCGAGGGCTGGACGCATTGCGGTCAATTTCAAAAGTGACCGAAACTGTTACGCCGGGATGATCTAACAAGCATAGGTTAAGGCCCAGCTCAGTCAGTCAGCGAATCTAATATGAAAAGCGCAGCGTGAATCAGGATTTGTAAACGGCCGAGAGACTGAGATTAATAGCTGTAGAGGTTCGATTTAAACATAGTAGTGATAAGATGGCTGCAACTATTGACTATTTGTAGAGTTGATGGCTTAGTAGTAATTTTGACAACGACGCAATTGCTACGTTGCTGCCGAGGCGATAGCAGAACGACAATGGTGTTATGCTTTTAGCAGTTATTCACGCCGTAGTCCGCACTTATTATGCAGCGCTCTATTCGAGTCCTAATAAAAAGGCCAATATCTCGTCTCAAAATCATTTTTTTGTCTTAACTCTCTACCTCAGACATCACTTTATCACCGAGCATGACGATGCAAAGCTACATTGCTACCAGCTCCAATACACGCATAACCCCCACTTTGAGACCCGCGATATCGTCAGAATCGACTGTAAGCCTTTCTCTGATCTGTGTTGCGACGTAGTACTGACAACGACGCGCAGACACTCGATGCTCAACCCATTACGTCGAATCCTCACTTCATTCTGTCTACGCTTACTATCTCTGGCCGATGTCCACTGCCAGTAAGTTTAGTTTTCTCTGCCAATGGTTACATCACGCGCTAACCGACTTGATAGCTTTCTGCCCACGAACTCTTGGCGACTTTCAACCATGATGTTGTTCCGCAACCGGGCAATGACGATCAAGACACCGTTGTACAACGATGTCGCTCTATGATAATAGCAAACCCCGGACTCCAAATTATGTTGTATGTCCAATACATAACTCTCTGTGTTGAGTATCAGAATCGGGGGCCACCTTGAACGATGACAGTCATCGAACGCACCGTAGCTCACGTGGTTATGTAGTTATGTCTCTTTTATTCTGCCTGTATCACTTGAAGCTTTGTGAAAAGATGGTTATGTTCGACGCTGGAACTTATTCTAAAAAAGATTCTCTGAGTAGTGATTCAGACTTTCCAAAAAAATTTTGTTGGTCTAATCAAGGAATATATGGAGCAACGCAGAAGAATTTTTCTCGCTCGTGAGATGCATTCACTCTCGCGATTCATCCGCCTCCTTATATGCGTGCGACACAGACTCCCTCCCCATACAAAGGCTCACTGACAGACAAATTCACAGTATTGTGTATTTAGAGGTGTAAGACTACTACCCGCGCGCCATGGCTGAAAAATTGAATTTAGAGAACCTATTGACCACATAAATGCTACCAAATGTCACGAATGGCACTATAGATCAAAAGATCGTTTGAAATGACCATCTGCAAGAAACGCTTCGGAGACACCGATCGGAGGTCTTTATGTGGGCAGTCGAATTACCGGGCGTTGTTTCAAGAGAGCGACTGAAGCTAATTGCAAAGAATATGGCAGACAGTATGAACAATGGCCAAGGCGGGTAATATACAAAGTGGCAGAGGAGTGGAAACAATGAGAAATGATTGACGAGCAGAGAAAAGTGTGACGTAAGAGGAAATGCAGGCAAATGACTGAAATGGATAGCGGGATCGAGAGAGAAACAATCTGCGGAATGACGTTAACCAATAACAGTCACTCAGGAGCGTCGGACTCGTTTGCCCTTGGTCTTGGTAACTTCCGCGAGTGGGGAAGCAACATCACTTTCCTCATCATCGGTGTCATCACGTTCCGCCCCTCCGAACAAAGAGTGAAACAACGGATCGGCTGAGTCGGTAACGGCGCTGGGAGTCGACGATGCTTCAATTGGGCGGCATGAGGTACTCGCAACACTGGAAGGGACAGTGCGGTTGCTGAAAGAGATTGAATCAGTGCTAGGTCTCGAAAATAGATGCTCTAACTCACAGTGACAATGGAATTCGACCACCGCTTGGTCCTCCGCTGGACCTGGAAGACGGCGTAGCTGCCAATGTAATTTCTCCATGGCATATACTAATGGCGTGAACCTATTCATAAAGCGTAAGCATTTACAATCGGTAAACAATATTAAAGTATGTCAAGTACCTCATTTTCCCACATAAAAAGATTGGAATCATAGTCCTTGATTTGACTGGTCAAGAGGACTTCACGCCCCAATTGGCAGAGATTCTGCGCCTTTTCCATATTACGCACCGGTGGAATGTAATGCTGCGTGTGCCAGCTAACATTGGTCTTTGTCTACAAAACACAGCGTGTTAGACTGATAAAAATGAAATCATTCTGAAAAACTAACAATTGGATCGTAATCAGTGGACTTGAGCGTGACGACAACAGTTGATTTGCCTTTAAAGGCGGGGTCAGTGATCAAGTCACGGCCAAAAACGATGCCTAATGCGCTCTTAGTGATCTTATCAATAAGTTCGCCGACGAAAAATTCACCAAATTTGTCAACAGATCCGAGGTTAATGTGATTGACGTTCTCGAAGTGAAGTTGATCGTCAGTACTGTTGTTTGTACCGATGAGCTTGCAGTTCATAGTGTAGACGTTCTTGGGGGCTAAGGTCTCGGCCTGGGAACCATAGGAGGTGATCTGGATTGGATTCTCGAAGGGAGCGCCGCCATTCATACCGGATGTGGCGATGGACGCGTGGTGAGAAATAAAACCCTTGGCACCATTCATTTTGGCGAGTGCCTGTCACAAAAACACGATTAGGCAGATCAGGGCAATGTAGATACATAAATACTAACTTGATTGCCTACTTCGCCCGTAAAACCGACTCTAATGGGATGAGATGGTATATGGTTGTCGTTTTTCTTTGAGTTAGTAGACATTGTCAATCAATGATAATGCTTAGCGTAGGAATGCGACTTTAACTGAGAATGCGTTGGTGATATTGATATTGACGACAGATACTGGAGGTGATGTCACATCTATCGCGCAGCGCACAACGTTCTTATACTGACAAACTTGTAGTGATTGTAGGCTCCGCGGCGGTAAACATTGAAATCACAAGTTTGTAGATTAAGTGCGGTGAAAGTACTGATCAGGCACAACTATACGCGTGGCAAAACCAGTCCGGTACAGACCTGGCAGCGATGTCGGTTAATAGGGCAACGGATTGACCATACTCTATGGTGCGTGATGCCATGCACATACAGTGTCTCATCGAACAGTGGCCTAGGAAGTGAAAGCGAACTGGTTCAACCATCGTCTGGGCCTTCGCGACGTTCATGCAGTACTGCTGGCAATGAGTAGAAGTAAGAGAGGATCGTATGGGGATTGATCATGTTGCTTGAAAAAGTGGGGAGAGATTTGCGACCTGATCGGGCAGTGAATAACAGACGTGTTGGACCAGGGAAGATAGGCATATATGGTGACCATTGAAATTCCTGGCGTAAACTTTGTTGGAAGAGAGCTCAGCAGAGAAAAATGACCAGTGGTTGAAACGGTACCTGATTAGCGGTGTAACTTGAAACGTAGGTGCGGCGACGTGCAAAAACGACATCAACGGTAAAAGAGAGGCAGCGGGTTCCTTGCAGAAGAGGCCATTGAGTAGCTGTAATATACAGACAATTATAACTTGTTAGCACTTGCATTCAGCGTAGCACATTGCGTATTGCTCAGCCTCGTTTATAATCGATTCAAACATGCCCGGCAGTGATAACCAACTTGGGCCGCTAAACTTACATGGTGTTTTCAGATTGGACAATCTCGTAAGTAAAGGAAGTGTGTAAGGTTGGAATGTTTGCTGAGAAACTGATCTTAGATTTCAGGACGTAACAATGCGGCGAACCCACTTCGATTTTATAGCGCAACAATTCTAGTCACAAACGACGGATTCTTACCGAAAACTATACTTATCGCTGATGATATGTTTACCACAGCACTTTCGACAGGCGTATTGTACGAAGTCAGCGGATCTGTTGTGAACCGTTTCCATCAATATCCCCCAATTATATTTCCGGACTATCAAACGTTACCGCCAAGAATGGTGTTGTACCCTTGTGTTGCGGACGTGTCGGATGATATCAATGTGGCAGGTGTTGGCAAAGTTATCAAAGCGACACTTCGGGAGTTTTGGAAGGACACAGCCCTGGTCGTGGCTCATGAGGATTGGGATGCATCGGTCAGCAAGAAGTTTTTCATTGCAAGGGCATTGCTGACGTACCCTGTTTGTAGGATCTGACCTGGGTCAAATTTGTCTGCGAGTACATTTGCCACCACGCGTCGCTAGAAGGGGTCCAGGATGTCGAGAACCTTCTCGGTAAGAAAGTCCGCATCTGCGGTTGCATCAGGGGCTTTTGCGAGGTCAGAGATTCTTGGATCATTACGGTACGTAAATACCAATTTAACATGGGGGATAAATTATTGAAGTGGTGACTATGTAGGCTTCGTCGGTGACGCTATTATTATGACCGGGAAATGAGAATTGGTATTTCAATTTGTCAGTGATAACAACGAAATGTGTATGAAGGCGAGATCCATTGATTGTTGTCGCGGTTGTGAATCATAGAATCATTTAACGCTATCAATTTATACATACGCATACAATGCAATGAGTTTTGAAAATTGTATTCCTTTTTATGAGAAGGTTCGCGCACGTTGTCAATTCACACTGATATGCAAAGTGTTCACGGGTACGGAGATTCCCTACGTTCGTATCTGTCGGCGGAAAACAATAAATTTACGGAAGGTCGCGAGGACCAATCCGTTCTGAGCAGAGTGTTCTGTTGTCAGCGACGTTAACAACAACTTCAGGCCCATGAGATAAAGTCGAGAAGAGATGCAATGTCTCACTTGAAACGCCAAATAAACAGCTGGTGTTCCATGTGCATATGATAGGATCATCGTACAGCTACAGCGAGTCATTACCGAGGCATTGGTAAATGCTATATTATAACATAACCCTGTAAAGGTAAAGTCCTAAATCAACAATGACTACCAATACCTCGTTCGCAATGAAATGGACAGGGATTGTGACTCTGCACAATGAAGTAAGTGAGGTTATGACTTTGAAGTGGGACGTGATGACTGACATCATATGCAGACATTTACGCTAGGTGGGCAAGGCGACTGGCACCGGTGTTTCAAAATCGAACCGGAAAATGACCTTGCGCGGCGATTTGGATCTAGATTCAAGATCACCGTTGAAAGAGAATCAATACTTGAAGATGGCGATGTCGTTGAATTGTGCGGTGACGTAGCTGCGCCTAACAATAGCGGCGATACATTGGTGATTACATCCAGTGTGTCGATCAAACGGCAACCAGATTGGATTGCGATGTCCGGTTTACGTGTCAATGTTGTAGAAGTTGCTAGTCGCGGACTTGTAACAGATCGCATAGTGACGGACGGAAATTGGACCTGTCTCATAGTAGAACACAACGTTTGGATAGGTTTGGTAGGCGACTTTGCATTCTTTGTAATTTCAAGAGCTGACAATTGGATAGTGGGGAAGACATTTAACTTACAGCGCAGTGTATGTGGATATTGGCGATGGGGTATTGCCTTTGGTACCTAATGCATGCGCAGGAGTGGTAGTAATATTGCAAGGGGATGTGTTGGAGTTTTCCGAGCGTGGTAATATGTGGGCAATACATGTAAGTCAAAAGTTATATTGCTATAGAGTATATTAATCATTGAGACATGCACAGTTGAAGGGAATCTTGGTAGAAAGTCAACATGAGCCAATCTGAAAGCGCCGGACAACGTAAGCGGATTTCGCAATGTGTTTTGATAACAACTATGTACAGAGGTCTGAGATCGAGGCAAAGAAAAGGGCTTCAAGGTGTTATTCATTGTAAAATGCAATTGGTGGTAACCCTCGTTTGCGTCTGCTTCGCCTTATCTTCGGAATTATGTGTACCATTTGGATTTCTGCAACCTGTGGGGATATAAGTAGTTGTAATATAGAAAGTGGAGCGTTGGCAATGTACTGACCTCAATGTGCCAATTATCATTCGCCGGATGGCGGTCAATGACATTGCCCCGGAGACTGATAACATTGCCAACGTTGAGCGCTTCAATGCTAAGGCCCACAGTGATATGCGGTGCGAGATAATAGGTAACATGTTAATCGTTGAACTGGAAACAAATGCATGATTGGTTAGTGACTGAGATGTGTGAGAGTTATGAATTCACGCACCGAGGTAGTAGTATTGCGGTGCAGTACTTTGATGTATTCACCAGCAGGTCGGTTCATGGTGAGATTGTGGTAGGACCACTCTACAATCAATCCAACACCCTGCGTGGTTACTTTATTGATCAGGCTTTTGAGTCGGATTTCGCCCTCGTCAATGCAAATGGTGTTGGCGGAATCCTCAAATATCGTCGGCATGGTAAAAGTGCCGCCAGCGGCAACTTCACCATCAATGCGATAAGCATGATTGTGCTGGAGGGTGGTTTCATTGCGCTTAGCGGCGATCAGGACTTTAACACCTTCAAGCGCACCGGCGTCAACAATGATATCGGTTTCGAACATTTGATATCTATTGCAAGCATTGGAGGTGGCTAATTGAGTCTAAAAATCGGCAGCGTCAGTTTTTGGTAGAGGACTTTCAAATGTAGATTAGAAGACTGACTTCATTTTTGGTCCAGAATATACTACTAAAGCGCAGTGGGAATCGGGATTCACAGCAATTCTCCATTGAGTAACGAATTCAATTATGGTATAGCGTTTAAAGATGAAAGAATGAGTCGTGGATGTCGGTAATGTCTGTGAACAATGAATCGACAAAGGTCGTATTTGAAGGTGTCAATCAGTGTAAATATGGAAATAAATCATAGAAGCCGCCAGGCGGATTGGTCAGTGGACTCGAGACTGGTCCAGGTTAGGCGTAACTTGTAACGAACATGGGCGACGGTAGTGGCAGTGAATTAGCAAGCAAGTGAACAAAGGCTCATATAGAGATGCCGTGGCGTGCCCGGATTGGATAGGCGCTGAAGGCTGGCTGTGATGACTGGTCGAGGGATTGCAGTTGACACTGATATTATCTTCATGGAATGCTGAGCTGAGTCGTAAAATAAAGTGTATAGCGGGATAGATGTCCCGAAGCAAAATTGAGTAATGACAATGGCGACGATGTCGGTACATGGACCACTGGAGAATGAGAGATGATGAAGTTTTTGATGTTAATGCGGCTGTAATGAGAATCAGTGTTAGCCGCGCAGAGGTCCAGGTTGGGGTAAGCCAAGTGTCGTAAATGTTGGAAACGACAGCGTGGGAGAGGTGTGAGATGTGTGGAGGGTGACTTTGTGAGACGGCCAGGGTTGTTGTACTATTAGGGTTGTCTGGAAAGAGGCCGTGGCAGTGAGGTTGATTGTTGGGTTGTGGCGATCGCGGTGATAGGGAGATGAATTCGACAAAATGCAGTGAAGGGCGGTCCACGGAAAAATATTGAACCGAGGTAGGGTGAGATATCGGAATATGTAGAGTTGGTAATTGATAATCAGGCAAATTGCATCGAATCAACATCAGATGACGAATCGAACCCTGATTGCTCGTGCGATAGGGCCTGGGCTAGAATCGGTGTAGAAGCAGAGTGACGGGGTACAGAGCTTTGCAAGGATTGGTAGTTGTGTGTGCGGGGAAGCGCGTCCCTGACTTCGACCGAGATATATCAACATTTGAGTCATGTAGACCAGTGTGGGGAACTTGCGCGTAATGATATAAGATTGATGGTATGACGACGATCCTAACAACTGGCAAGGAAGTGAAGTCCAAGCATCAGTTGAGACCTGCAGGATATCGGCGGAGGCCGAAAGGGTGAAGGGCGTAATGATATTGACAGAGCCTCATATCCCGGTTTACACTTTTACGGTGGTATGTACTGGTTTTATGAAAGGAGATATGTTGATAAGAGTGCTATTGGCGATTGCGAGTAGAAGTGACCTGACACTACACCAAATGTAATCTTTACTGGGCGGTAAAGAAAACTACTGACATAGAAAAGTCCTGAGGCAACAGGAAGAGAGCTAAAAATCTGAAAAAATATGCACCTTGTTCCTAGATGTTGGGGCGTCATGATGAGTATTTTTTTGTATTTTACACACAGATATTGGTTAATGTACTAACAATCAAGGCTGAGAATCATCAAAAACCCACCTGTAACAATACCTGAAATTTGGCTCTTGATTTTGAAGACAGGATTTTGGAATCTTCAAACATCAATAACTTTTGCAGTTCGGAATCAAATCACTCGATTTGAAGTGCATTCAAAAGGTGAGCCTTTCCTCTACAGTTTTCATTAAGACATCACATCTGTAGCTGGTCTAAAAAAGGTCCTACAGAGCTATTCATGCAGAACTGTTTGAACATATGTAGAGTGTTTAAATGACTAGATAGAACCTTCCTAACAATATGAAGTGTGAAGGAGAATAGTTCAGCTTTTGAATGAACCAACAATCGAGTTATCTGGAGCAGAATTGCAAAAGTTATTGAAGTTTTTAGACCACAAAATATTGTCTTCATACTCATGACCCAAATTTCAGGTATTGTTACATGTGAGTTTTTGATGATTTTCAGTGTTTATTGTTAGTACATAAACCAATATCTGCGTGTAAAATACAAAAAAATACTCATCATGACGCCCCAACATCTAGGAACAAGGCGCATATTTTTTCAGATTTTTAGCTCTCTTCCTGTTGCCTCAGGACTTTTCTATGTCAGTAGTTTTCTTTACCGCCCAGTAAAGATTACATTTGGTGTAGTGTGAGCAAGGTGGTGCTTTACAACCTGTATTTGATAATGATATTTGGCATCGATAGATTGGGTTTCGGGAAAAACGTACATTGGTGCACGGGATAGATAGAAATGCCAAACAGAGTTGATATCGCTGAGCAACGTGAGGGGCAGAAAGCATGATAAGTGATAATAGGATATTGGTGTCGGCATGTAAATTTGGTATGTGGTCATCAAAGGGAAGTTTTGCTGCGGGGGCCCATTAACGTGAGTGGAGTTCATCGATATGTGGTAGTAGCATGAGGTATAAATTTGTGTCGAACGACCACTGATGTGAGGTTGGAGCAGTGTCTTACGTTCATTGAAATTGAAGTTCAGATTTGTATTGTTTAGCTAGACGATGACTTCGCACTCTAACACTGTCTTTTTCTTGCCCAGCATGGGACAGAAGATTATTCCAAAAAAGAATTATCAAAAGCTCAATCTAATTCGCAGAAAAGATCTAATCACGCCAGATATGTCTGCTCGCCGGAAATCAGAATTATGTTATCTCGATATGCCTGCTAGTGCTATGGCAGAAGTCAAGGCCGGTGAATATCAATGTTACACTTGTTCACTTTTCGGTCATGTGTACGAAGATTGCCCAGACAAAGGAATGAAGAAACGCGAAGGCTTTGGGGATTGGAGATTAGTCGACAACGGCATCGTTTACAGCGTCCTAGCTCTATGGCCGCATCTCGCAGTTAAAAGTCAACCATAGTGGCATTCAAGATATCGACATGGGGCAAGCTTTGTGAGTAATGCTTAGACCTTATTATTATTTGAGCTCGACATTGACATCTAATGGGAGGTGAAGGGTTGCAGCGGGGGTGGGAGTGGCGCGTGAAGGTGCCATTGAAATTGATACTGTGTCAAGGTGAGTATATATAACATTTCAACTGTGACGGTTTGACAATTAAGGATAACATGATTTGTGATTTAGCAGTGGAAAGAGAGATTGTGTTGATCTTCGGATTGAGCATTCGGGGAAGAGGGTAGCGAGCGGAGCATTACTGTAAGTGGAGTTTGATCATGCGAAGCAACTTTGATGCATATAACTGATTATAATATATTGAATTTGGGGACTTGTTGTAGGACGCGGGGGGGGACAAACGGATACGTCGGCGGGAAGAACGGTCGAGTTCGTGCACCAGACTAAATCAGTCATTTAGCCAGGTGAGCTATGATTAGCATAAGGCAATGTATTAGGAACTGACGGTATTACACTGGTGGATGCAGTGTCCAAGGTTCCGACGCGAAAAGCAAGGTACCAGCTTCGTGTTATGACGATGCGGTATTTGTCGATAATGACTTTGCAATCTGTGTTTATGGAACCGAAAGAGATTCATCATGTACAATAATCTTAGAGGAGTATACACAATGTTGAGATAGCTGAAATGTCGATTTGTTTCGAATGTGTATTGTCAGTGAGATTGTGTCTCTTCGCTTCGACGGCGTTTGCCGCTTCGTAGCATTTCATTGCGGAAGCTGGGACACATAGCATCTTGGGACGGTGGGCTATGTAATGCTAATTCTGCGCCTTCGTATGAGAGGGTAAGACCAGAGTAATCTACAGAAGGAGCGGGTGGAGCTCTGCTGTTGCATTTTTGGATAGAAACTGGTGTTTTGACCGCTGCGTGAGGGAACGTGTCTGCGAACACATTCGATGAGTTCCGAATAACGGTTACAGACTCTGCCTGTATCGTAAGACGTCAGTCATTATTCTTCATTGAAGAGGTGAATAAAACTGACGTCACATTCCCACATGTCATTTGCATCGTTATAGTCCCTGAGCACACCTTGGCTGACAATTTCTGCACCGACTTGATAATTAATGATATACAGCAGATCCTGCCACTTCGGTGATAAGTAGTGTTTGGTAGACCAAGAAACGACTGCGCCCGTCTAGATTGTAGCGTCAGATTTTGTACAATTTGTAGGTAGTGAAGAACATACAGTGGGATTCTTGTTGTTCGACTTCATGGTAAGCAATATTGTAGGAGTGGTATGGGTATTGTTACTGAGCGTATGTAGATGAGTGATGAAACCGTGTGCAGTCACGGTGACCTTGTCAATGACTTTTAGCAACATGTCTGTCACTGTGCCAGAGAAGACTCCGAGATCAATTGCACGGTTTTCATTGTAATAGAGATGATCAACGGTGGAGGTATTAGAGGCGATGAGTTTGCAAGTAATAGCATAAAAGTGGCCACGTTTTAACGGTGAGGACAGAGAATAGGGGGTCGTCAGGAGAACTGCAGTAGCGAACAGTCCTTTGTGGCTGAGTCCTGAAGTCGCGATGTCGCCACGTGTTGAAGTAAATCCGCGGGTTTTCAAAATAGGAGAGGTATCCTGGAAATATGGAAGAGAATTAACTTTGGTCAGTGAAAATGGTCAATGAAAATAAGGATTGGGTGTACCTCTTTACCGACTCGGCCAACATAGTGAACATATGTTGAGTGCGTATATGGGGTATAACTCTGAGTGGAGGTGATCATTACGTTGTTATAGTGCTAAAGTGCTAATTGTGAGAGAGATTGAGGTCTTATCAACGACATTATGATCTTTCGACGATAATGCAGTTCTTCATGTGGAGACACTTTTTGTGGCAAATGTCCACAAAATAGACGGGCTGGTTCAGATTTCAAGCGGACCAACGCCGGCGAACTCTTGCTAGGCAATTGGGACTGGTTCCTCTGATATATCCATTCTATTGGAGTTCGTGAGCTCGATGTGATTATCTCATCTTAACATACCAACCACGCCTAGGCATCACAAACTTATTTGATATGCCTAAGCTTGTACGGGCGGGGCGCTGCCGGCGGCTCGACTGGTTTTGCGTGGGTGAGAAAAACTATCCTCACCCCTCAAACCTGCCTGCCTTAGCATTGCCTGGGTGGGTGGGTGGTATTTTAAAATTGAGATAACTCCTCGAGATCTATATGAAATTGAGTTGTGTGTAGAAGAAGGTTTGCTAGGATGCGTGTGTGAGAGTAATAGTTGAAATTTTTCTTTCCAACTTTGAGAACTCTCCGCTCCGTGTACTCCCTCGCTACAAGCATACTTCTTCATCTGTACACACAACTCCTAGCCATGGAACTCCGCACCAAGTCGTGCCTTGGTTGGTGCTCACACTCCATTCTATTGGAGTTCGTGAGCTTGATGTGATTATCTCATCTTAACATACCAACCACGCCTAGGCATCACAAACTTATTTGATATGCCTAAGCTTGTACGGGCGGGGCGCTGCCGGCGGCTCGACTGGTTTTGCGTGGGTGAGAAAAACTATCCTCACCCCTCAAACCTGCCTGTTTAGGACGGCCTATGGAGCTCTGGGTCGCTCGACAACCCATATGTCGTGACACGCCTGTGAGTCTCGGCTCGGCGAGTTGTCCCATAGCTCTCAGGGGCGTCTCAGCTGTAAATCTTACTCAATCAAACCTAATAATCTATTTCAATTATCCTTGTGTATTCTGTATTCGCTGTACGTCATCTATGCAGATCATCTGTCTATACATTGTTCCGTATGCTCCTGCCTTCCTTGGCGTACACTCAACAAGGAGCTGGCTTAAACTACTTATCATCTACCCCTCTACTTCTCCTATCAATCGCTCTCAACAACCTCTTTGTCTCCTCTAAGTCTTCCTCTTCGTATACCTTTAAGTATGTGTTGATTGCGTCTGATTGCCATCTTCCCAAGTTCATTATCTTCTCCTTGGTCCAACCAACATTCCAGCGTAGCGACGCTCCCCCCACTCGAAACGAGTGGCCTGACCATCGACCGTCTGCCGTTCCACTTACTCCCCAGATTTGTGCTATCTTATCCATGAACGTCTCCTTCGTCAAAGGCTGCCTCAGACTTCCGCCTCCTATACCGAATAGTGCATCGGAACCTCTCTTAGCAGGAATCTTCTCCAGCATCCGCTCTAACGCTGCCACCGGGTCTAACACCGAGTGCTGTCTTTCTAGCCTGTCCCCTCCCATTCGGAGTAGCAATCCGTAAGTCCAAACTATCCACACCATCTCTGTAGTGGTCGCACTCACCTGACTTCATGCTTCTGGCCTGGCTTCGCGGATTTCCCTTTCCACAAATATATGATCGCTACTCGGGATCCGCCAGTGCCTTCGAAACGTAGATCATTGACCACCAGCATCCCGTCTTCTCGAGACTGACGTGTTATCTCTCCAAGCCGCATCATGCCCCAAAAGGCCACCAAGGCTGTCGTCGATACCAGATCGTCTACTTCGTCTTTACCAGCGAAATTGAAAACGACGTGCAAAAGTTCTTTTACCATCACCGGTCTCTTCGTAGCGTGGGGTTTCAACCCTTCTTCTCCCTTCAGAATCATCGACTCCTCTGCTCTCTCCGTCGCCTTCAGGATACCTTTTATCATCTTTTGGTCGAGATCTGGAGGTTTCAACTTTACCGCCATTTGCCATGCTTGAAGTCCCGCTAAATACTTCTCCAACGTCTTAGCTCGGACCACTCTCTTCGATGAAGACTCTTTCTCTGAACCTGACGCTCCAGCCCATACCAAAAACCCATACACGTCTATGTCAATCAATGGTATCGCTGGTTCCCATCTCCTACCGCAGCCTTCTATGTACTCCCTGAATTTTGTCACCGCACTCGAATAACCCTGCAATGTGCTTTCAGCTCAAGTTCCGCTCACCATGTGCTTCGCGATTTGTAAGGTTTTCTCGTCTTCGATCTCATCGCCAATCCGCTTGAAACTAACTCTCGTTCTCTTCCCTTCTTTGTCCGGCATATTAACTTTCTGTCAGAAAAGCGGCTAGGTCTTGCAGTAAATCAAATCGTACACGTTTACTGATGTCTTTGGATGAATCCGTCCCTCTTGAAAGGGCGTCTGCTAGGTTCGCCTTCGACGTAACTCTGTTCTCCTCTAAATCACAATCTAACTCCGCCAACCGGCGCTGGATCCTTCTCCATTCTAGATTGACCGAAACATGTTTCGATTTTAAATTTCGCACCACCGCCTCCGCGGTAGTATTGTCCGTCAGGAATAGCAGCCTCTTTCCTGCCACCTTCGTAACCCTCGCTGCGATTTCGAGTCCCAACCTAATTGCGACGGTTTCAGCCCAAGCAATATCACGCTTCACGCCAAGAACATCTCTATCTGACCAGCCGTCTATTAATTTCCATTGGTTCCAGTGTTCACCTATCATCACTCCAATACCAAAGTCCGTTGATGCGTCTCCCACCCATCCGATATCTATCGCCTCCTTCCGTGGGATCAGCTTCCTATTGGTAAAGTCTTTCAGCGTCCTCTTCCAGTCCCATAAATCTTCAAGGACGTCTTTAGGCATCTTCCTCTTCGCCAATTTGTTCTTCCAGGTTGCGAGCCAATGGTAGAAACTAGGGCAGAAACACTTCATCTGTGGCACAATGTTTGTCACATGTACCAGCCTCCCTATCAACTTCTCAACTTCCTTGTGAGTCATTCCATCCGCTTTCTCCAACGCTTCATCTACTTGCTGACGCCTCATCTCCAACTTCTCCTCCGGTAACCTGACCGTCTTATCTCGACCATTCCAGATAAAACCGATATAACGTTGCTCTACCGCGAACTCGGCGTATTTTCCCTCATTCGTTTGTACCCCCAAGCGCTTGCTTAAAGCTACGACGTCCTCCATTGAGGCATTGTGTGCGTCTCCTTTCCTCCTTATGAAAAGATTGTCATCCACCCAACGGAACACCTCCAAGAAATTGAAATGTCTCTTCACTATCTCTTTCCAGGCATCCGCTGGGCCACCGAAACTGCCGCATCCTGCTACCCCCCCGAACGACACCCATAAGTCCCAATAAATCTCTCCATCTGGGCCTCTTATCATCAGAAACCTCCACTGAGACGGGTGCGTTGGAATTTGCCTATACGCTTTCTCCCAATCGAATATACCCAATTCGATCTCAACGTCATAGTGCTTCTCGAAAAAGGCTGCGACCCTCTTGAAATCATCCCAGGTCGTCTCGAAGTCTGCCTTATTCACAAATGAATTTACTGACGGTGTGCCTTCCTTGTTCTTCGGGTATGATAAGTCGTTTATTATCCTTATCGATCCATCACTGTTAGTAACACTACCCATTGGGCTCGTTCTAAAGAACCCGACCTTCGCATACACTTCCTCCTCTGTGAAAGGTCCCACCATCCTGCCAGCTGCTAGCTCCTTCCGTATCTTCTCCCCAATCAACTCTTTCTCCTCCTCTGACCTCGCGTGGTTCTCTGGTGAGTAGAAACGCTTTCCTCTTATTTCATGCTCCGGAATCCCCTGATGGAAACCAATCACGAAACCACTAATTATGTCTTTGTGCTTGTTTGATAGATCTAATTCTTCCGCCATCCTTAACCACTCTTTTATATTCATTTCGCATTTGACTTCTGATGGCCAGCTCTTCTTTCGGCTCTCTTTGTTCTCGGCGGGTTTCACTTCTTCTGGTGAAGGGTTTCCACCTCCCGTGCTGGACTCTCTCTCCTCGCTACTGTGGGATAGGGATAGGACGTCACAGGTCAATGTAAGCAATATGTCCTCCATTTCTTCTTCACTCAAAAATTTTTAGTCTAAAGAACAACTGATAATCATGGAAACTCGAGAGACACAGAGGATGACAATGAACAGTTTCAATCTTATATTCAAAAACCACAACTTCCTTGGCACATGGAAACCGGAGATAAAACTGGAACAGTGGCAGTGGGGAGATAAACAGAGACAGTGACATTGAATTAAATTAAAAAACTGCCGAGTCTTGCCGCCTCCTGGGATATCTCCCCTATCTTCTATTGTCATCTTTCCGGGAATTTTGGATATAGGGGAAGAAGGAAATTGAACCCAAAGTGAGATTCATGACGATCGAAAACAAATAACTGGTTCACACGCTCTCACTTGCTTACCATTTTCCTCCTGCACCTCCTTTCCCTGCATTACCTGCACCGCCTGGCTTAGCTCCTGCGGCACCATCCGAGCCGGATCCACCCTGCGCGTTCGCACTACCGCTGGAATGATTGTAATCGTTCCACCCTCCATGGTGATAGGGTTTGTAGTGACCTTGCGGGTAATGCTGGCCTTGGTTGTATGGCGCTTGAGTCTGGAAGTACGGTACGTGTTGACCATAACCACCGCCATAGCTTTGACTCGTAGCATAGCCTCCGCCGTTTCCACTATAAGGGCCTCCTGAAAACGCATGTTGATGACCGGGCTGACTATTACGGTTCTGCCAATAATTTGGTCTTTGCTTCTTGTTCTTCCTCCAGTTACCTCCGTCTTGGTCACCGTTATATCTTTTATTCTTCTGATTTGACGCCGCAAACTGCCGCTTCTCGAAACTTGTCGTTTTTGTGGGGGCGTCAACCGAAGGCTCTTCCAACATCTTCTGCCCGGTCGCGTAAGGGTTGTCCGTGAAAATACGTTCACCCTTCGCTTCGGCCTTATCCTTCGCCGCCCTCAGCACATCCTCGTGCAAACGCCCTGCGTTGCACATTTCACGCTTCCCTGACGCTCCTATCACTACTTGCATAAGCAGTCGTCTCACCTTTGTGGGTGACACACCGGAAAGACTCTGTTAGTATTATTCTACTAACCGACGACGCCTATTGACGTGTGACATGGCTAAACTTCTTACCTTCATGCAGTATCGTAGCGCGATCATCCAGCATGAAGTTGATCTACGAATCTCAATCACATTCTCTTTATGCATCATCAACATCTTTGCTACCGTCTCCATATGATAGTGTTCACCCACGTATCTGACGTCCGAATCGAAAACACCCATGGCATCAACATCAATTCCTGAACAGTCATGCGTCATCCCACATACCTGATGAACAGATCTATCGCATCAATCCATTCGCCGTACGTCAACAGCATTTCGTCTTTGGGTGTTAATCCCGTGTACGTCGGTGCTTCATCACCTTCTTGGAGCTCTTTGACCGACTTCGGCTTCTTGGTGGACGCCTTCTGGAAATCTTTATCAATCCATTCCATGTTGAAGACGGTCAACGGCACGTAAGACTTCAACTTCGTCATCCTTTGATTTATACCGTGTGACAGTTGCAATAGGTTTTTATTCGAGAATTCTCTATCCACAAACTCGATCTCACTCTCCGGGTTGATCAGATCACGTATTTCCCGATCCTTCCTCTTGGGTCTTGTTGATCGGGCATCGTCTAGAACCGTGTGGGGTTGGCTGGCCTGCAGCTCTTCTGAGTCGCTTTCTCCTGCGACCAGGGACGCCGACCTCACTCGTCTCCCTCTCTGCTCTTCCAGATGTCCTAGTTCTGTTGGTGGTCTAGGCTCCGTCTGTGCTCTTAACTCGACTTGCACTCTTGGTCCCGCATGAGGTCGCGGCTCGTCTTGTCGTCTAGGTTCGACTGGAGGCATCGGTTCTACCAGCTGTCTAGCTTCTGACTGGTCTGCCCTCGCCTCTCGTATATCTCGTAGGTCTTCCGGGTCGTACGGAGGATGACCGTACATCAACTCGTATGCCTTCAGCATTGTTCTGCCTAGGTCGAGGTTATCCGTTGCATATGCCTCCATTATGTTCTTCCAGAACATATCACGGCTTTTGTCTCCTACTGGAGCTGGGGGGTTTCCTGCTGGACATATGCATATAGGAATCGCACTATGTCAGTCGTCTGATCTTCATGAATCTGACATCTCCTCTTATCGACCTTTTGGCTTTATGATAATCTGCGGATCAGGTTTAGCCCTGTCTGCCTCGGACTCTATACCGGGTTCCTTTCCTCAGGTTTTTCATTACATGGTCAGATCTAGCCCTGCCTGCCTCAGTCTCACACTGGATTTTGCTTATCATGT